GGGGTCATCGAGTGAGAGAATAATTTTTTAAACGACAATAAATCGTTGTGGGATCTTCAAACCATAACACTCCTATTCACTCGGATTACATGGCACATAATTTTAGACGAACAAAACCTCATCTAAGCAGTAAATACTGCCCAACTTATTTGATATTTTAGGAGTCACCTGGTACTTTTCTCTGACGTCATGTTGGGTGATAATGTTTAATGCCAAGGGTGTGCAGAGCTGATTCTTCACCTCCTTCCACCATTTTATATATATTGTAGTATTAAACACATACAGTATTATAAAACTGGTATGTAGTTGTACCGGCAGTCAGTCTATTGGTAAATGACAGATACCTGCAGTTTCCTCCTATTATACTAGAGTTTTCAATTTGGGATTTCTTTATCCAAGAAAACTTGCAGGATGACTATAAAACTATTTTTCTAGTAAGCATTTTCAAAATCAAACACAGACCTAGATTCTATTATGGAATATGGGTGGGACTTCAACATTAACCTCAGCCAAAGCTTTGCAATGAAAGCTTGTGAAGGGCCAAAGGACAGTCTGCAGGGTTTCTCTGAGTAGTTAACAGAAGTCGTATGAAGGCTCACTGTAAACACTGCAAGCCATGGCGTACAAGGTGCCTACAAGGAATACAGGTGTGTTCTTGGACTATCTTTGAGATGGGCATTTAACTTGCTCTATTTTATACACCTCACTACAGTCAAATTGCCAATGCTTAACAACTGGGCAAAAACCAGCTTCGGACCTGCTCACCCATACCTTGTGTAGACATTGGCACCTTCTAAGAAACCATGAAATAAAGTCAGGATCCTGCCATATGGCAGCATTTCATACCTGCCTGCACAGAATTATTTTAATTTTTTTTATTTTTTTTTTTTAGTTTTCGAGCTTTAGAACCTGTTCTAAATTCAAGCTAAATAATTAGCTACTAGCTCAATTTAACACACACACACATATATATATATATGACTATTTAGGTACTCATAAAACTTGTCCCAGGACTTTTATTTTTGTATCCTGAACAAAGCTTTGTGGAACTTCTACATATATATCTGAGTTAACTAGTACAACTGACAACAACAACCATCAGTTCAGAGAGAACTGAGGATTCTAACCTAAATACACCCCTAACTGAGGATGGGGATGTGAACCACGCCTCAAGCATCCTCTGGGATCTACAAATTATTATTTCTGAAGCATGGCTTAGTCCTCTGGCAACTGATATCATGGCATTCAAGCCTAAACGTTTACTCTTAAATACATAAATTCTTACTGGCTCTGATTATTTGCTGACTGCTCCAGCCACAACAACAACATTACCAATGGATTAACTTGTGCATTTGACAGTATATTAGCACCTGTCAAAATATAAGCCACTTAATACTTTCATAGAGAAATGCAATGTATAGCATGTCTACTTTCTGTGAAATCACATCTCAGTCCTAATTCCTTATTGAGTGTATCTGAGTGGGCATCACTGTACAACCAGAACTACTAACACACCACAATCAGACAAGAACGGCATTCATTTGTCTTCTAATTTTCACATTGACTCTAGATGTACAAAACATCACTGAATAATGAGTAGATGCATTTGGGTGGAAAACTTAATTTACTTAGAGTGGAACAATTATAGACATCTTTTGCTTTCTTTCATGGAAATCAACTCTCATCAAGTCAGACACTAAACTAAAAATTCTCTAATTTAATGTTACCATTAGCAAAGATGAAGATGCATCAAATTCATTTGAATTTTTTAACAATGCTGAGAAGCATTGAGCTTTTTCATGAGTTATCATAATGAACAAGAAAAGTTGATTTTTATGGGGAAAAAAAGAAAGAAATGGAGGTCTAAAGGAAGGGAACTGCAATGAAGAACAGTTTCTTCTCTAATAAAATTGGTGATTCCCCCTCTGTATCATCTTTTACATTAGACTTGGATTAACTTCTCTCACTGTAATTCCATTTAGCATGCCATTTGAACTTGTTTTAGAGATGATTGGCAATGGCTTGAAAACAAAACCGCATAATTTCCTCACTTCAGAAATGAATTTTGCTGGATAAACCAGTTTTAAACAGTTGATATTTGGCTGTACATTTCTGTGAATAAATATCTTTTAAATGCACTTGGAATAAGTTAAATAAAGAGACTTTAGAAAGAGCTTTGTTGAGCTCCATGTGAGTTTAGCCTATGAATTCAACCTATGGAAGAAAAACTGAGAAAATGAGGCTTGGGGAATTTAAAGTTACTAAAGTACTAAATAGAAATAATGGCTCAATAGTGACAATATAGTTAGTTCCATTATGTAGAAATCTAATAACAGGTCTATTTTATAGTTTCTGACAAGAAAGCAATGAATACCTGGTCAGTTCTGCTCTACCCCTTTTGCAAATAAAATATGAGTAAGTGATAACCCCATTCTGAATAATTATAGTACTTCATCAGCCTGATAAACCCTGATATTAAGCCATACCAGCACAACTAAATTCCACTGATAGGAACAAAAAAAGAAAAAAAAAGAAAAAAGAAAAAACAATTAAGAAGAATATACAAGAACTGCATCTGAAATTGGGAGTCAATCAATACAGACACAATAATTAGAAAAAATGAGAACATTCACACCAAACCACAAATCGATCTATCTCCCTTTGTCACTAGTAATACGTTGCTGACACAATGTTTAAGATAGAGACCTACACAAGGCAACACAGAAATTAGGGCTGTTTGTTGGCAGGTAGTGTTAGAAGACCAATCAGAGTTCCCTTAAACACTTCAACATTATTTCATTGAATAAAAAGGTAAAGGATTCCCACTAGGAAATGTGAAGCTGTGGCAAGGCTTGTCTTAACTGGGAGATCTATCATTACATCGGACCAACCTCAGTGACAGGTTCTTAGAGTAGCTCTAACAGAAGAAACTAAAAAGTCTAAGAAACACGATGTGTGACTGAGAATCAGTATGAAGGGACAATACGAAGTGGCTTTTTGTTTTGATAGGTTTTTGGAGATGGGGAACTGGAAGATCTATGGGACCTGATAGTTTTCAATTTGGAAATCTCTCAGATCTGTTCATTCAGATTCTTGGCAAAGAGCGAGTGTCATGAGAAATAGACATTTCTGTTCAACAGTGAGTCATAGGACAAGATCAAAAAGATTTGCAGTATGGTATAGTCTACAAGACTTATTTGTATCATAAATATTAATTGTGCACATCAAAGATTACAAACTGAAAACCCTGTTCTTTCTCTGTGAGCCTGGACTCAGAACAGCTGGCACAAACTTTTAATTTTTTTTCTAAACATTCTCTACAATGGTGACTACTAAAGACTAGCAGCTAGGAAGTTATGCCCTTTGCTTATCTACAGCTTGAGAAAAGAAAACGTGTTTGATCAAACTGCAAATATCTACCACCACTGACATGGAAGGACTTGGCCTACCAAAGGCAAGACATGCTCCATCCATCTTACTAGTTCCAACATGGATCACAACCAGAATAGAAAAGTTTTCTGGTTTTACTTTTCAAAGGGAAAAAAAAAAAAAATCCAACTTTTTGGACCAATACTTAAAGAGGAGTTGTGTCCCCAGTAGCTGGTCTCAATTCTTCCATGCTCCAAAGGCTGTTAAGCCATAAGGTAATCAGCACCCCAGACTTGGTGCTGGCTGGCACAAGCAGTATCTTCCCCACAACTCCAGACCGGAGGAGGCAGCCGTGGCAGGTATTATACGCTACATAGAACACAGTGGGCACGCATCTTCACCGATGGACAGTCACAAGCCAGAAGACAGAAGTGGGAAGGGAGAGAGTTGAATGGAAATGTCAGAACTCAACTGCAATTTGGCAATGAAAAATACTACAATATTATTCATAAAGCCTAAACAATTTTATTTGAAACAAGAAAAAGGAAGCTTTTGTCCTTCGAAGTTTCTACTGATTCATTGCTACCACTTGTTATATTTCTTCCTGTTTTTAGCACAACCAGTATCCAACAGGGAAATTCTTTCAAATTAAATAGTGTGATAAATTAACATGCTATTTTCTACGTTGATATAACTCATTTTATCACTACGGTTATGCAAAGGAAATCCACATTTATCCTACACTAGCTTTGTTTTCTTCTGACAAGGTTATTTGTCATGACAGGAAATTCCAAGTTCATAAAACTGGATAGCTGACATTTCTAATATAATATAGTCTGTGAGGAGTAACAAGCCTCCTACTCAATTTTGCCAATTACATCAGTGTTTGTCTTAATGCAAAATCACTTTATCCCATATTGAAAGACCAACATGGAGCTCTTCCTAAAAGTCATGTAGATCTGGAGAATAAGAGACTGCATCATCATCAGTGTGAAAACACTTAGAATAATCAAAGTAGCCAGCAATGTAATGCAGACAGACACAGATAATGAATTTTGTGACTGTAAAGCAAGAGCCAGATCTTTTACGATACAGTGTAAAAGCATCGTATTTTATGAAGATTATGAGAAAAGTTTATGCACATGCAGCCTTTGAATTTTTAGCTCCAGATTGTATAACATTTTTTTCTTGGGGAAAAAAAAGTATCTGTAAATTCTTTTTTTGTATTCTGAATAACTGCTTCTCAGCAACCAGATGCAGTTCCACTTTTCTAAACCAAACATTTTTGATGATCTGTTGCAAGTTTTCCTAGAAATACAGATAAAATTTAAGTAATCTTCTTCAAGAGTGAAAAATATGTTTTTCTTCAAGATGGATGCTTGAATTAGGACCTTCCTTTTTGAGTATAAGAAGTAAGTATAAGAAATGACCATTTTGTAGTTTGAAAAGTCAACTCAGGTCAAGATTAATATAGCATCCATTAATTAGTTTGTTGATACCATGAAGGCTTTTCTGGTCATCCCACTGATGAATGAGGAAATTTGCATCTCAGCCGGTAAACATGTTTGATGCTTCCTGAATCTAATGCACAGCATTTGCTACTGCCAAAAATAAGAGACAAAGTGGAATACAGAGTCAAAACAATTTAGAAAAGAGATTACTAGTTACAAAGGAATATGAATGAATTTGAAAATAACATATATTCTGGACTGATGTGTTCCATAAACATTTTCTTTGCTAACGGAAGCCTTCAGGGAACAAATACTTATTTCATATGCCTTCTATTCTGCTTGTGTCATTCTAGTTTTCCACTGTAGCTCTGCCTTTTATTTCCTTCTGTTCTCCTTGCCTTGGTTAGATTAGAGAGGTAGGGTGTTAATGGGGTACTTGATGAAGATTGAAGACCTATTTTCTCCCCCCTCAGAGACCAGCCTGATTTGAACAAATTGAGGAGAGCGAAGCAGTCTCTTCATGTCCTTGGGAAAAGCCTTTTCCATTTCAGAATTTCCAGCTTTCAGATGTGGTCCCCTTTGTTCACAGAGAAAAAGAATGAAAGGGTGCCATCACAAGAAGGTTCTGAATAATTTCATGTAATGTCAGCAGGGCTGCAAAAGCTCCCTTTCAATCTCCTTTACGGTTGGTGAGCATGTGAACGCGAGGTGGATCCAGGAGGGGAATGCAGGGAACTAGTGCTTGCAGCTCGAACAGGGCGAGAAACAAGCTGTTGTCCACCAGTCCCCACCTCTGTTGTTGCCACTTCCTTACTACTCTCATCCTTGTGGGTACTGTTTTGTGCTGGGCACTCAAAATGCACACAGTGAAACACCTGGAGAAAACAAAAAATGAAGATAAAGCAAAACAATTAAATGCTGGCAAAAGCATGATCAAAGTAGGATGAAGTCTATATGGAAGTATGCAGGTCAGATCAGTGTCAAAGTACTTAAGTCAAATTGGAATGTTTCACCATGAGGTCGAAAACATCTGTCCATCTGTCCATAAACACTACAAAGTGATATAAGTGGAGCAAGAGAAGGCCTTCAAAGTATACTGACCTTTACATATGGCACTAAAAATCAAAAAGATGGTTCCAAAGCGGATAGAGATATTTCTAAATGATTTCTTTTTTTTTTGCCAAGTATCATAAATATCTTCTACATGCTATCGGATGACAACAATAATTATATTGTCTTAAATGTATCTTATGATCTAATTACTTCCTCAAAAGACTGAATATTCATACACGCTAGAAATTAAATTTAAATCGTTACTAATATGATTCTATCTCAAGATTGCCCTCTGCTGTAGTAACAATGGTAGCTCTACAGACATATCCTGGAGTATGCAGAAAGGCACTCAGAGTGTCCAAGGAGGCTGCTGCTTCATCAGATGAAATACTCCAACTCGAACAGTGATCATTTTCTGATGTTCCAAACAATCTGGGACCACTGTACAGGTGACTTATCTTAGAGTAAGAGAACAAACTGTTTAAGCATTTTTTCCGATTTATTTTCTACTTTACTTACTCTTACTTCTACTTGCTCTTGAAGTGCCTGGGAGAAGGGGGAGGAACTCTTTAATATTGTTACAAAACTTCTTCCCACATGATTTCTCATTGCTATGAATTGCACAGGTTTGCCCCACACTAAGCAAATAAATACAATTTGCTATTTTCTCATGCATTGTAGTTTTATAGCAAAAGCTTCATGAATATTAAAAACTGAATTTTAAAATTATCATTTTACCTTAATTTTGTATGCTTTTATGCCATCTTCTATCATTCTTCTTGAAGGGTTATCATGTCTGTAAAGCTCTTTACACAAACAAAGGTAACCTCTTATAATCCTAACTGCCCTTTCCCAGACCCTTCCAAGTTAATGTGGACAAAATCAAATACCATAAACAAGACATGGGTATACTACATATTCATACAAGACTACAGAATATTATATTTTCTATCCTTTCTTCAATACAACCGAAAATCCTATTGTTCTTTTTGACCATCCCTGTTCAAGTGCATATTGAGCAGATGTCTGCAATGACATGCCTGCAGTAGCCCCTAGGTCTTTTCTGAGGAGTAGCTAGTTAATTCAAATTCTGACAGCATACATGAAACGAATAAAAAAAATGTTCACAGTCACTGGGGTTTTTTTATCCCCATTATATTTTCTTGTGCCTCTAGTGTAAGAATTCATGCACTTTATTTTTATACAGATACATAGCGATGCACGTTTATATTTCTATACACATACACACTCACATAAAGATGTATTGCTATGCCTTTATATATACACATATGAACAGATTACAGATCTACACCCACACGTGCACAAAATGGGTTTTCTCTGTATTTTTCTGGTGAGTTTTTTTCTAAAGCCGAACTAATTTCTACAGTGGCATGAATTCTCTCCATCTGTTGCAGTTCTTGAAAAGCCAATTTTTGCATTCAGCTACGCTTAGTGAGAAGTCCCGTCTAAACTCATTGCGCTCCCATGTTTTTAAAATAACAGTTATTGTCATTTTTCCAGCTGCGCTTATCAGCATCCAGATTTGCAGAAAAGAGCATTATCTCATCAGTGCACCTCTGTAAGATGCTGCTTTCCTTGAAAGGCTGCACAGTCTAATGAATGGGACGGAGGTCTCAGTCAGAAGATTCCGTATTTCTGCTCTATCCCATGCCAATCGTGTTTCTCATTTAAAGTTTTGCTTTATCTAGTGATGCATGTTTTTTAAAATTATAGTATGATTTCCACTGAAATTTGGCTGATATTAGTCTATAAAGTCTGAAGTACCCAATTCTTATACTGTCACTTTCATATAACTTTACTGATTCTTTCATACTAAATTCTTAATGCTCATCTCAGCATTAACAACCCTGTGAAATGACATTATTTTCAGTTATTTGGCTACTCTAACATATACAGACTACAGCTTGTGAAAGAAGCAGAGGAGAGGGAAGCACAATTGAGTTCATCTGCTTCATTCGGTATTGGAACGACATACTTCAGAATAGTGTTATTAAAACAAACAGTCCTGAGTGTGTTTCTCTCAAAAGGCAGCGGTGACAGTTCAGCATCATCCTCTGATCAACGGCATGTTATGCTTCACAAGGATATTTTAAGGAAGGTCCAACACACAAAGCAGGAAGGCCAAGTACATATACACTGGTGCAGTAATTTGTAAAATAAAGCTTTCACATTAGCAACTAGGTGCCCCTTCCAGGTCAGTAATACTGGAGGGGAATAACAATATAAAACTTGGACGGTCAAAGTATCAGGTGACCTGTCTGACAAATAAATGATGACAGGGACTAAGGAAAAATAATCTTTTAATTTCTAACGGTAGGATATCTGGAAGCTCATGAAAACAAGAAGTTACATGTCTATCATGTTCTAATGTACCAAAAAAATTCAAATGGCAGGTCGAAAAAAATCTGTGAACATTATGTCTTCCAAGAGTTGGAAAATATGGCAAAAGAAAAGATGAGTTTAAAAGATTTGAACATTCACAAAATGGAGAAATATCATGGGATTTTTTTGCAACTCCAAAAATCAGTCCATCACTTTGGGAAGTATGCACATTGTGCTTTCAAAGTTCAAAGGTATATGTTGATAGAACCAGTATGGAGGTCTTTTGTACCTGTTACAGTAAAACTCCTTGATGAGAACATGCTGCCATTAGCATGCTTCGTCTAAAATGAAAATGGTTTGACATAAAATACAACCAGCTGCAGGTAACTAATTCTAGAAACTGCTTGTGTTCTTACTGAACAGACTACCGAGCCTACCAACTACAGAACAAACCAATACTTTGGTTACACTGTTATTAATTAAATTGGAAATATGAAAAAATGAAAAACACCTTGCTGCAGTCTTTGGAAAATGAAACTTTATGACAAAATGTAATAGATCATCTGTTTAATATATATCAAAACAATGCAGTTAGTAATATAGGCATGCTAATAATTTTCCTTCTTACAATAAATTGTTCCAAAAAAAATTTTAAAATTAGCGTGGGTACAGGTTATAAAGACAAAAGAGGGAAAAGACCTGTAACAGCAGCACATATTTATAGTTCCACTCGGCCACTACATGATCAGCTGTAACCTCCCTCTGCACATACTGATCTTCACTATAGTTATGCAGTTCTCCATATAACTAACTACACAGGATATTAAACTCCTTGCAAATGACAACCAATTTGAAATTAGAATTATGTTTAAAAGCCCATTATTCTTCAGGGCATAAAGTAACCTTTAAGAAATAACAGTCAGAGGTTATGTTTCTTATACGCTGATTTTGCATGTTTACGTAATGCGCCGCATTCTTTTATAATAAAGAGTTGAGAATTTACAGAGACTGGCATGAGATCAAACAGGGCTGTCTATATGAATTGGTAACAGAAAGGGTCTTCTTCATGCATGTACAACACCCCTGGAGGCAGCTTCTGACTATGCATTTCTGAGAACTCACTAATTAAGACTGAACTATACACCCCTAGAGACAGTGTTCAGAAAAAAATAAATTAATTGATATTCCAGGTTCAGTTTATTTGTCAACTTCTTTCCACCTGTCTTCTGAGAACTAATGTTGACATCTGGTGGTACATATGTTGGCAATAATTGCTCTAAAATTGGACATTAGCAATACTATTTGACAATTCTTCCAATGTCCTACTAAGAAAATATCATCCCCATATGCTAAATATGATCAGAAATCCTGACTCCTAATACTGTTAGAGCTGACTCTAACTACTACAAATATACTAGTACTATCCAAATTTCATTGTAAAGTGGGAAAGTACAATACCTTGTTGTGAGCTACACGCATGGGATATAGACAGGTAGGCATCCACACAGAAGCAGCAGCTTCTGGTGCTTCTTAACATCTCACTATACAAGGTCCTAATCTCACAAAGATTTGCATATTTTCTTAAATTCACATATTGTAAATTGTTTCACTGAAGTCAACTGTAAAACCTCCACCGTGACAACAGCTCTCCAACTCTCTAGAGACTGGGAAGACGATAACACAGTTCACAAATATTCAAATAAGAAAAGCATTCATTCTTATCTTGCTAGATTGCCAGAGCGAAAAAATGAAGTACATTTTAGAAGGCATTATCAATTCATTTTAAGACATGAAAAACTGTACTGTTGTAAATTCATGAAGAATATAGTCTTTCTTAAGAGTTCCTTACCTCATTAGCTGTGTTGTGAGTTCCAACTATTCTGATAAAAGATGCAGGCTGTTTATCAAAAGCAACTGTTTGCCAGGATCTACAAAAAAGTCCAGAAAGACAAACAAATATTAGACATTGTCACAACTTGCAGTAAAATATACAGAGAATCCATCCAAGTGACAGTACATACTATTATCATGTAATACAGCAAAGAGAGAAACACTTTTCATCATCTGAATTTCCAACACTCCTTGTTATTTTTAAATGCCTTGACTCTGCTTATGTGTTTCCATACATACCTTATACTACTGTAATTTGTATGCAGTAATAATACACATACTATTGCTGAAAGTTAAGAAAATGGTAATAGAAAAATACCTGAATCAAAGTCTAAAATCCCTGACTTACATTGACTGTATTAGAGAAATACAAGATCAGATAGATAAAAGTAAATGCGTCCATCTGTTGACTACTCATGATAAATAATCAACTTTTTAGTAAAACTAGAGTATACAGGAGGCTTCAGAAATTAAGCGTAGTTAAGTATAACTCGATTAGCTCACTACAGTAGAAAAACACTGCATAGTTTTCCTGAATGTGTTCAGAATACCTTCAGAAATGTCCATGTAAGAAACAAGGGACCAAAGCAAAACTGGAATGAAACACCACGTGCCACCAGTAGACTACCCCAAAGCCTGGCAGTGTCAACAGCTTGGTTGCTGACTATTTGTCAGGCACTTGAATTTTCCTGTAGTAGGAAAACCTCTTTGTCACAAACACAGCATTTCTGAGTTTAATTTAGTCGACTATTACTTTTATCACTGCTGTCAGGTTATATTTGCCTAAAGAAGATTATGAGCCCAATCAAGACCTAATTTCAAGTAGTTTACTGGTACTACTTCATGAAGTAATGGCTGTAATTAGAGTTACTCATCATAATAGAAAGGTGCGGTCTGTGTCAGGCCTCAGAGGTACAGCAGTTATCTATCTAATGGCATAGTTTATTTATAGCCATTAGGTGGCTATGTCCCTATTTTAAACCTCAGGCTGTTTCTTCAAGCTCAGAATAAAATATAAAATGAGAATGGACCATTTTGTTGACTGTCTCAAGATCTGAAAGATTGCTATGATTTAAACACTTTTTTTCCCTAAATGGGAGAAAAATTCTCCTTGAGTTTCTTTCTCGTATTACTCCAGTACAGCCAGTCAGTTATTCTCCATGGTCAAACATAACTTGTCACCTTCATGTATAGAGTCCCAAAGGTAGTGGCTGGGACAATCAGACGATTGCAATGTTACTTCCTACAAAGTATCACCGCAGTCTGGATTACGTTAATGCTTTCACATTTACATGCCCACACTTCATGCAAGGAGAGTGATGATATAAAAATCAGATTTCCTTACTTGGTGATTGGGAAAATATTCTAAAGCCATTCAAAATAAAAGAGTTCAAAATCCTAAAGAAGCTATTAAGAACAGCCTACGCCTTCCTAGCCTCTAAGGTACAGGTTGTGTTGTGTGACAAGAAAATAGGTTTATTAGAGATCATTGAATAGAATATGAACGGGTCTGTATTTATTTAGAGTACTTCTGAGCACTGGTCAGATACACACTGCAAGAGTTCAGTGCAGATTCTCCAAAGATGGCAGTAAATGCCACTGTCTGTCACATGAAGTGACAAGGAAGCCAACAGATCTATTTGAGAATACAGCTGAGGAGCATGACAGATATTAAGAGAGGTTGAGAAAAAGGCTTCTGAAGATCCTTTTGACAACACATTTAGATCCACTCCTCCAGGAAGCTCCTAAGTTGTTCTACTTCCCACTGCATTAGAAGTCCTTACTGTCTGCTACAATGCTGTTATTAGGATTGGATTCTATTACCCTTTTAATAATATTAAAACATGAGAGAAAATAGCAAAAAAGATTCTTCAGGATATGAGATTTGAAGGGAGATAGGGTTTTCAATAAAGTTAGTGCTAAGAATATTTACTGGTTTGGTATGTGTCAATTTTATTCCTTTCCCATTGGAAAAAGTACGTCAAGATTATAGACAATTTGTAGAAGAGTTATTAAAATTCAAGTCATTAAAATTCAAGAATATCGCCACTAGAGAATTAGTACTTGATGGGATAATGAGAAAATTATGTCTCTTGGTTTATTTCCTTAGCAAAAAGAAAAAAACAAAGCAGAAAACATCCCAAATGGATTTGGAAAAAAGTAACTTTTGAAATAATCGAGGCAAACCTTCTTCACTAGAAAGTTGCACTGATTTTGACTGTAACAGTACATTTGAAAACATCAATATATACAAAGCAATACCTCTCCCGTACAGATACAATTATGCAGCAAAGAGATAATTTATGCAGGGTAACTATACCCATATGGGAAGAGAAATTACTTATAGAACATTATCAAGGTATATCTGCCCTCTTTTTGTACTTTTTGCTGATACAACAAATTCAGTAAAACTTCTGTGTATCAAGCCACATCAATTGTCCAGTGGTATTCCTTGATTAAATTAAAGATATCAAAGGTAAGCCTTCAGTTTCTTTTTATTCTTCTCTTTTTACTACTCATTTTCTCTTCTGGTACTAACAGTAATAATTTCAATTTCTCTGTAAAAATTTTATTTTGCAAATTATTTTTCAGTCATGCCATTTGTGTAGTCGTGCCATGTGTATGTGCTTTACACTTTCCTCACAAAGGCTTGTCTTTCTATCCTCAAAATGTTTTTTCATTTTTCATTTTCTGTACAAAAATTTCCTCTAAACTTTATACATAGGTCTGGTATTGATTTCATACATAAATCATTGAATTCCAGGAACAGCAGCACTAAAAGCTATCAGAAGCACCTGTTTTTTGGTCTGGGATTTGATACTTCTGTGTAACAGATGCCATCTCTTCACCTTTACTCCCCATATGCCAAGCAAGCAAACAAATCTTTCAACCTGTTGGCAATACTTTCACCTTCTTTACTTAGGACGTGGTCACAAAGAAGCTATCAGAACTTACTTTTCCCACAAACTGACATTGTTATCTTTAGATATTCTGTATCTCTGTACTCCTTATTAGTGATACTGTAACAAATTAATTTTTCAGGGTTTAGCTTTTTAAAATATTATAGAAGTGTTGATCTTTTTTTCTGCTTTCACACCTGTCTTGCTGGTTGTTTCATTTTACATTTCCTGCTCAACCTGCAGCAGTCCTGGTCATTACTTTCACAACAGAAATAATCACTACCTCAAGCTGAGGTTTACATCTCTAAGAGAAGACTCGGGACTAGCAGCCTACTCAGATTTATACCAGGGTCCTCAAGCTGAAATGCAGCACTACAAGTTGTTTGGTTAGCAAAGATCCCCTGATACCACAGCTCCATTTTCCAAAAGAAATTAGCCTTGTTACAGTCCTACGGTGTTTTATTTAACACTCCACATCTCACCTCAGCCACCTGACTTCTAACTCTCTCGTTCTGCCCAACTCCCCTACGGAGATGCAGTAATTGATGATTAGCATTCCAAAGCCATGCTTGCATCCTGTGAGCCTGTCATATTTAATTACATTTTAACTATATTCGTCTTCTATAATAGCCTGAACATAATTTAGATAATTATCTTTTGCTCTCTTATTCTCTGACTCTGCCTGTCTCACTTAGAGCTCCTCGCAATGAAAATCACTTTCTCTGCTCAAACATATAAACAGACTCTTGGGCCAAGTGCTTTCATCTCTCCAACAGCAACAGCTGTCACTGAAAACTCAATGGCTTTGTGCATCCCACGATCTCTTCACCATATTCTATTCAGAGGAAGAAGAAAATCATTAGAAACCCCTAGACTTTCATGTTTCTTCCTGTTTTTATCTTTATTAGGCTATAGAATGCAAGAAATGGTGACATCCAGGTAAATTATAACAATAGCTTGCTATTGCTTAAGCTATCTATAGCTCCAAAATAGCAATTCACCTCTTAAAGAATTTAATGGCTTTTTTCAGCATTCGGAATCCTTGCCTAGTTATTTCTATGAAAAGCTGCTAGCTTTCTAAAGATTTATTACACATAATAGGATATAAATAGTGACTCTTCCCTGATATTTCCTTCTTTTCCAGAAAGAACAAATTAAGAAAGAAGTGGCATTTTATCTTTTATTGAGGTTTTCTAATGAGGCACTGGCACCACAGAACACTACCTACCCTGCCGTGGGATCACCAGAGCAGCACTGATTATTGCTGAAACCAAGTCCAGGCCAAAGATGTAAAACGAAAGAGAAGGCTGTTACATGTAACTAACATTCATCAGGCTGTAATAACCCTATCATATTCATATCATGACTTGCTTTAGGCTAAGCAAGTATATTTTGTGTGTGCACATTGTGCCTCCTCACTTCCAAGGTGACACACAACCTCCATTTTCTGTGCCTCACTCTAAGAAGAAAAGCAAAGCAGAGTCAGAAGCAAATGTGGAAATGAACACCACACACTTAAAAATATCAATTACAAGCAAGTAACCTCCATTTTTCTTTCTAATGCTTGTCCACATACGCCTTGTTCTATAGCAAGTGAGAAAACACTTCTTAGCTTATTTGTATGTGGACTTTTTCAATTGTGACTACGTATTTTTTTAATGAAATATTGCATTAATTACAATAGCGAGGAGAGATTTGTAAAAGCAGGTGAGAGGAAAGGAGAGTTAAGTTGTCTTTCCATACATCACTCTGGTGACTGCACTGATGTAAACAAGACAGCAAGTAACTAGCATGTGGTGCTGCCAAATAAAAATTTGCGTGTGCACATAATAAGCAAGCCAACTGAGACTCGAGAAGTCCCGTAGTATGTTCTGCATGGTATGTGTCACACCCCTTGCCTTATTAATGAACACCACACTAACCTCTACTATGGAGTAGCTATAAAATAAAAACAGAAGCATGGACTAAAAATGCTGTAACAGTTATTGTCATAAAGACATTTTTCTTTATAAAATTACCAAAAAGGTGTACAGCAACCTTATAAATTGCTTATAAAAAACATGTTTTCCACCATAGAAGTAGTAAACAATAAAGTGAAGTAATTCTCTCTTGTTAAAGCAGTAATTTAACATCCTGAT